CAAATCAAGAATGAAAGAGTTGAAAAAGCCAAGACATATCTCATTATTTAGGAATTTTGAAAATGAATTTATCGTAATATGGCAATGACATAATATAATATGAAAATCGAGATAAAAGATACAAAGAGGGCACATTGATACACATAATTCCATGTGGAAAGAAGATTTCTAAAAAGAAATTGGAGGAATCAAAAGATAACTTTATATATATTAAAAATATGAGAAATCGATTTGACTAGATCTTTTTAATCTCACTAGCTATTAACACTTACATGCCATATTGCTACTGTTAATTAAATACTATTTTGGAATTGAGTTTTAGAGTTTCGTATCAATAGTCCTTCATCACTGAACAGGACTTGAAATGTACAGCGAAGAACTCAATCGATGGAAGAATGTGGAGCAAGCACATTATAATCAAAATGATAATTTGGTTAGTATTTTATTGCAAGTAAAATTGGAAGAAACAAAGACAATGAATTCGACTGCTAAGATAAACACAAGCATATCAACAAAATGATGTTTTGGGGGCCAACGTGTGAAGATCGAGCCTGCCAACCGATAATCATTCATAATTATAATGCACTATTTTGGTGCATTATCTTGTAATTTTAATAAAAGAAAAAAAATAAAAAAATCATTCGCGTCAAAAGGTGGACTGAGCAGCGCCTTTGGCTTGTTGACCCAGCAACTATATATGCCCAAAACTGAAAGGAAGCAGACCTAACCATTAACAAGTTATCATAAGGTTGACTTTTCATCATATGTCCCTAAAAGATGAAGAAAGGGGTAATTATGACAAAACGAGGTGTAAATCGATTTTGGACCGTTCATACTTAGTTTTTGTGTTCGAGACGAATTAGGGCTCGCTAATAAAACGAATAGATAAACGAAAACTCGAGTTCAAGTCGTTTATCAATATTAGCAAGCTGAGCCAAAACTGAATCGAACTCGAGTCTGAGTTCTCTTTTTGTTTAACAGACTTCTCAGCATATACCACTAATTCTTTGATTAGTTAATTATTTCAGGCCTAATTTTTTCTTCTAAAGTCGAGTAAAATTTATCAATATACTAACAAAGAATTTCTTTGAGATGATGCAACTAAAAAATACCGAGATTATCATTTTTGAGTAGCAGAAAAAGGATTAAATTTGTAGAAAGTGTGACCAAATGCAAACTGGAATTAAATTTGTAGAAAATTTGTTCTTGATTTAATTTGTACGTTAACTTGAGGTGGAAAACATGATTACGATATTTGTATTACCGCAAACATGGCTGCTACCCAGCAAGTGGAAAATGAGTACAATGATTGCCAAGGTAACAACTTTTTAATCAACATATATATATCACCTTAACTGCTGCTAACTTATATAATGATAAAATTATAAAATATGCTCAGTAACTATAGGGACAGATTGCAAATTTGTCCANTTCATTGGTAAAGAAAAATCGAGAAAAACATGCCCAAATTAAAAATGCAAAAACTTACTTGCATAAATGGACCTAAAAAATGCTAATAACCTAAGTAGTTGCGTAGAATATTGTTCACGTACGATTCGATGAACTTTTTTACACTTGCAAAATTTATTAACAAAATGGTCATATGCTCAAAGTTATTGGCAATATTTTGGACCTGTCCATTAAAAATTAATGCTGATCGCAAATTCCCATTTTTTTAAGTTAATATATTTCCATAGAGACAAAATGACAAACCAAATTCTCATATTATGATCTCTTCAAACATTGTGAATAACTTTTCTTCCCCTTCCTTTGTAAACATGCATACTTAATTAGATAGTGTCTGATTGGTCTGATCGAAAAATTTGATTGATTGGTTTCCAACTAAACAAGTTACAAAGACATGGAGAATTATTGTCGTTATAATGAGTGACAGTGAAGTTGGATATTAATTAATACTTCTCTCACTGATAAGCCGATTTGGGACCAATAGGTCAAGATTTCGAGTCATCCAATAAGT